GCCACTGCTCCTCACTCTCAGTGACAGTTGCAGCCTGAGGCAGGTATCAGACCAGGGTCCCTCTGAGAGGACCCTTCTCCCTTTTCCCACCCTATGACCTCTCAGGAGTAGGGAGGCTTGAGGGGAGCCAGGAAGGGCTTGGCAGGATGCCCTCCTGACTCCACTTTCCTGGCCTAGAGGCAGCTCCCTTCCCCCACCGTGCCCCAGCTCAGAGCCACCCCAAGAGGCTGGGAGTCACCCCAGGCCTGACATCACACCAATCCGACCAGAGTCAGGCTGACATCCTGCAGCGAGGCTGCACTACCTGGAAACCCAGAGGGCAGGCTCAGTGCTGGGCTCCTGGCCTCCTCACTTGGCCAGACACAGGCAGGACCAGGCAGGACCAGCCAGCCCGCTGTGGCATCCACACCCTGACACCCCTTCCCACCTGGGACCACGAAGGGGGCGGCGCAGGCAGAGGGTGACGGAGGTTGTCTCAGGAAGAGCCAATTCTGCCTCAAGAAAGGCACAGGCCCACTGTCTCTGACCTCTGACCTCTCAATCCTGAACTCCAGGTGGAGCTGAACGGGTGGCAGAGCTCCTTGGGCCGTCCCTAGGCCCCCCAGCCCTCTCTGCAAGCTCCAGGGTCACTCTGAGTGTCTCCTGGTAGGGTGGGCTCCCAAGGCAGCCCCAGTCCCCCAAGCCCAGCCCTGAGGGCCACAGTGACTGTTGTGCAATCCTGGGCCACACACTGTGGGGGCGGGGAGGGCTGACGACTGTTGGGAAGGCTCCTGGGTGTGCACGGCCCTGTGTCTGTGCCAGTAGGGGGAGGAGGACAGGGAGGAGGGAGGAAGGGGGGAGGAAGAGGAGGAGGAAAGAAGGAGGACAGGGAGGAGAGGGAAGAAAAGGAGGACAGAGGGTAGTGAGGAGGGGGAGGAGGAAGCAAAGGAGACAGGGTGGGGGTGGCGGTGAGGAGGGAAGGAGGAGGTTAGGGAGGACTCAGGAGGGAGAGTGAGGGGATCAAGGCCCTCCATGCACTCGGCCCCCAAGCCTGCCCGGGTGACCCCTGCACCAACCATCATGTGGACGGTCACTGTGGTGCCACTCTTGCCCAGGCTGTGTGAGAGGCATAGGCTGTGACAGTGGGACTGGGCAGGCGAGTGTGTGCCGTGCAGGTGAGTGTGCGGGTGGAATGTGAGTGGCTCTGGGGGTGTGAGTGTGCGTGCTGATGGCTGGACCGTGGTGTCATGTGAGTGTCAAGGAGATGCGTGTGCGCATGAGCTGAGTGTACAAGATCTCTGTGAGGTGGGTGACTTCTGAGCGGGTGTGAAGATGTGTGTGAGAGGAACAGTGTGCAGGCGCCTGCATCGGGGTGGGTGGGGGCTATGTGAGTGAGTCCACATGTGGGATTATGAGTGTGAGGGTGTCTCAGGGATCGTGTGGCCATGTGCATCAGTGTGACCAGGAGAGGGGTGTGGGATGAGGATGGGGGCACACAGGCATGAGTGTGAGTGTGAGCATGAGGTGGCTATGGGGAGTAGCCCAGCAGAGGGGGACCCTGGTCCTCTTCTGACCTCTGACCCCCAAGGTCCCTGTCACCCCTTTTCAGGCCTCCCGGGTCCCTTGCCCCACTCTCTGTCCCAATTCTAGGCAGAGGGAGGGCTGTAGGCCCAACGCAGTCATTGAGCCAAGGAAGGTGGTGGGGACCCAGCATGCGGGGGTGCTGCAGGCCTGGTTGGGGTCCCCCCCACAGTGCAGGCCCTGACACCTCCTCTCTCAGCAGCCATCGGAAGACCTGGTGCCCTATGACACGGACCTGTACCAACGCCAAACGCACGAGTATTACCCCTATCTCAGCAGTGATGGGGAGAGCCACAGCGGTGAGTACGGGGCCTGCCGCGCCCCCACCCCCTGGCCCAGCCTGGGCTCCTGGGGTCTGGAGAGAGAAAAAGAAGAAATGATTCCCAGGACCTCTTTGGAATTCTGAGAATCAGATCCAGTTTGCTCTCAGGGGAAGTGAACCGCGGCATCCTTGCTGCACCCCCGCACCTGAACCTCCATTATGGAGGCTCTGCAGTGTGTCAAGGCGCAGGGTTCATTTCTTCTATGATTATCTGCTGGTTCTGTCCTCGTGGTCTTTCTTAAACACAAGGGAACCAGCTTAGGGTGCTAGGAGACTTGCACAAGGTCACACCACACGGCTGCTGGGTGGAACCCAGGTCTGTCCACTGCAGGTCCTGTGCTTTGTCTTCTGCCCCTGCCTAACTACCCACCTCCTCCTCTCTGTTCTCGTCACTCTCTTTGTCCCAAACTCCCCGCCGGCACACCCACGCTCCCTGCCATGTGTGGTTGGCAGGGTTTCCTAACCGTGGCACTGCTGACTTTCGGGTGGGATGATTCCAGGGTGGGCGGTCCCGGGCACCGTGGGAAGCTTAGTGGCATCCTTGCTTTTACCTACCGCATGCCAGGGGCACGGCCAATCACGACAACCAAAAATGTCTCCACCCATTGGCAGATCCCCCCCGGGAGGCAAAATCACCCATAAGTGGGAACTGCTGGACCAAAGGAAACCCTATGGGGACCTCTTGTTCAGCAGAGGCCGAGGCCCCCAGTTTGCTGAGGTGGGAGGAAGAGGCCTGGGCCAGGGGTCCTTCTGTCTGTCCAGTCCTTCTGGGTCTGACTGTTTACCCCCTCGCCCAGCCTCCGTCCTGGAGTAAATTCAGGGGATGGGAGAGAGGCATTAGGTGCCTGGGACCTGAGCAGTGGGCTGTGGGAGGTTGCCCGAAGTGGATCTTGGCTTATTGATGTGGACATCCCTGACCCAAAGTGAGGCGGCCCAGTCAGTGAGTGAGTCGTCACTGGGGGATTCCTCAGGGCGTCTGGGACCCAGGCAGACCAGCAACTGGGGTGTCTGCACCTCAGAGGGCAGAGGCCCACAGCCTAGGAAGGTGTCACTCATGAAAGCCATCCCTGCGGCCAGTCATGCCTGTAGCTCCATTCTGCAGATACACCTGTGGCAGTCTCAACCTGATGGGCCCAGCTAGGGATCCACATGTGCCTGGTTCACATTTAGGGCCCCAGATTCATCCAGAACTCAGGCTGGAAGCCATATCCCGAGGGTAGGCGGATATGCCTCCAGACCACAGCTGGGAATGCACAGGCATCTTTTACAATCTTTCAGGTCTAGAAAGTCTTTTTTTTTTTTTTTTTTGAGACGGAGTCTTGCTCTGTAGCCCAGGCTGGAGTGCAGTGGCCGGATCTCAGCTCACTGCAAGCTCCGCCTCCTGGGATCACGCCATTCTCCGGCCTCAGCCTCCCAAGTAGCTGGGACTACAGGCGCCCGCCACCTCGCCCGGCTAGTTTTTTGTATTTCTTAGTAGAGACGGGGTTTCACCGTGTTAGCCAGGATGGTCTCGATCTCCTGACCTCGTGATCCACCCGTCTCGGCCTCCCAAAGTGCTGGGATTACAGGCTTGAGCCACCGCGCCCGGCAGAAAGTCTTTAAAATATCCTTTTTAATTCCTTCAAGCTTATTTGTAATTATATAAAAAACACATCCTCTCAGTGGAAAACCCAGGCAATGTAGAGAGAAAGTCCCCCTCCTCCAACTCCATCCCCAGCTCTCCCTACCAGGGTGAAGAGCTGGGTCTGCGGGACTCACAGACCGCACACCCACCTCCCCAAGCAGTTCCAGGACTCCAGGAGGTCCTGCTGGGCCCCAGGACAGGCGCCCCCTGGTGGCTCAGGTCCCCACAAACAGTGCTGCCGGGCCTCCTCCATCAAGGACGCATTCTCCCTGGCCCCAATCCCTCTTCAGTTCACTGGGCTTGGCTGCATTTCCTTTGGGCTTTTTGCAGCCTCAGTTTTCCTTCCTGTAATATGAGGGCGCTGCCCACATAGCTGGAAACCAGTGAGCCTGGGGCTGGGCCTGATGGAGTGAGCGCTTTAGATAAATCATGTGTTTTCCTGGTTCAGGGCCCAAGCAGGTTCCTTATATCTGGGGTGGGGCTCTAGGAATGACTCCTGATTGGATGCCTGGGCACCCCGTTTTGGTCATGAACCCCCAATTCCTCCAGAAACTCCACCGGTGTTCCCAGGTATCCTCGGCCCTGGCCCTGTCCCACTGTTAATCATTGCCAATCAGGGCATTTGGGCTGTCCCTTTCTTTTTTTTTTTTTTTTGAGACAGTCTTGCTCTGTTGCCCAGGCTGGAGTGCAGTGGCCCCATCTTGGCTCATTGCAACCTCTGCCTCCTGGGTGCAAGCAATTCTCTTGCCTCAACGTCTCAAGTAGCTAGGATTACAAGCGTGCACTACAATGCCTGGCTAATTTTTGTATTTTTAGTAGAGACAAGGTTTCACCATGTTGGCCAGGCTGCTCTCAAACTCCTGACCTCAAGTGATCCACTTGCCTCGGCCTCCCAAAGTGCTGGGATTACAGGTGTGAACCACCGCGCCTGGACTGTCCCTTTTTTTTTTTTTTTTTTTTTTTTTTGAGATGGAGTCTTGTACTGTCGCCCGGGCTGGTGTGCAGTGTCATGATCTTGGCTCACTGCAACCTCTGCCTCCTGGATTCAAACGATTCTCCTGCCTCAGCCTCCCAAGTAGCTAGGATTACAGGGACCTTCTACCACACCCAGCTAATTTTTTGTATTTTTAGTAGAGACAAGGTTTCACAATGTTGGCCAGGCTGGTCTCGAACTCCTGACCTGGTGATCCACCTGCCTCGGCCTCCCAAAGTGCTGGGATTACAGGTGTTAGCCACCGCGCCCAGCCGGGCTGTCCCTTTCTATACCCACTGGAAGGTATTGTCTGAAGACTCAACCATAGAGACCCCCACACACTTCTGTCAATTCCTGCACATCCTCTTTGTCCACATTTTTAGGTACCAAAGCTTAGTGAAAAAGCTTTGACCCAGCCCTGACTCCATCACTCACCAGCTGTGAAAACTTGGGGCAAGTAACATAACCTCTCTGAGCCCCTGTTTCCCCATTTATAAAACTGAGAGCATGAAAACACTTACCTCCTAGAGCTGTGATGATTCAGCGAGGTAAGGCATGCAATCTATGAGGTACGGTAATGTGCAGAGGACAAGGCCTGTGCTAGCTTCACTACATCTCCCAAGGCAGGAGGGACAAAGTGGCTGGGGAGTAGGAGAAGCACAGAGGGCTCTGTGAGAGACCAACTGGGTTATTTTCTACTGACCCAGGGGGCAGCCAACCTGCCACCCACCCCCACATCCATGCACTCACCCTCCCATCCACCCACTACTCGTCCATCCTGCCAGCCGCTTCCCATCTGGTCCACTTTTCCTCCCTATTCCATCCATTAAATAATCTCTGAGTATATGCCATGTACCAGACACTGCTGTAGGCTCTGGGAAGTCCATGATGAGCACCCAGACACGGCCACTGCTCTCACAGAGCTCACCCTCCAGCGAGGGGATGGGGACATAAAGAATCAGACAAACAGGCTGGGCGCAGTGGCTCATGCCTGTAATGCTAGCATTTTGGGTGGCCGAGGTGGCTGGATCACGAGGTCAAGAGATCCAGACTATCCTGGGTAACATGGTGAAACCCCGTCTCTACTAAAAATACAGGCAGTGGTGCCTGCCTATACTCCCAGCTACTCAGGAGGCTGAGGCAGGAGAATCGCTTGAACCCAGGAGGTGGAGGTTGCAGTGAGCCGAGATCGTGCCACTGAACTCCAGCCTGGTGACAGACAAAGCGAGACTCCAGCTCAAAAACAAAAAAAAAAAAGAATCAGACAAACAGACTGTTTTCCACAGATGTAATGCAGATTGTCTACATGGGGGGCTGCTTTCATTTGAGTGGTCAGGGAAGGCCTTTGAGGTGGCAGCGGAGCTAAGAGAAGGAACTCGTAATTCACATGTGACCGTAGGTAGGGGAGAGGTATCCAAGGTCAAGGCAACAGAAAGTGCAAAAGCAGAAAGGACCCTGACAGAGGACCAGAGAGGCCAGTGAGCACAGGGCAGGGGACAGAAAGGGAAGCCAAAGGGGTCAGTGGCTCACGCAGGGCTCGAAGGCCATGGCAGGCGTTTGTATTTTATCATACACACAATGGGAAGCCACTGGAGAGTTCTGAGCTGGGAAATGACATGATCATGATCTGAATAACCTTCTGTGTATGTCTGTGTGCTGAAAATTTAAATACATTTACAATTTTTTTTTTTTTTGAGACGGAATTTCGCTCTTGTTGCCCAGGCTGGAGTGCAGTAGTGTGATCTTGGCTCACTGCAACCTCTGGCTCCCAGGTTCAAGCGATTCTCCTGCCTCCAGCCTCCTGAGTAGCTGGGATTACAGGTGTGCACCACCATGCCAAGCTAATTTTGTATTTTTTTAGTAGAGACGGCGTTTCACCATGTTGACCAGGCTGGTCTCAAACTCCTGAGCTCAGGTGATCCTCCCGCCTTGGCTTCCCAAAGTGCTGGATTACAGGCATGAGCCACCACGCTTGGCCTTTTTTTTTTTTTTTTTTTTTTTTGAGATAAGAGTCTCACTCTCACCTCAGCCTTCCAATTCACTGGGACTACAGGCGCCTGCCACCATGCTCAGCTATTTTTTGTATCTTTTGTAGAGATGGGGTTTCGCTATGTTGCCCAGGCTGGTCTCGAACCTAGGCTCAAGCGATCCACCCACCTTGGCCTCCCAAAGTGCTAGAATTACACGTGTGAGCCACTGGGCCTGGGCAAAATCTTCTAATTTTTATTTTTACATATTTTGGGGGTTTTATTTATTTTTTCAGATGGAGTCTCGCTCTGTCACCTAGGCTGGAGCACAGTGACGCAATCTCGGCTCACCGCAACTTCTGCCTCCTGGGTTCAAGTTACTCTCCTGGCTGGGCACTGTAGCTCACATCTGTAATCCCAGCACTTTGGGAGGCCGAGGCGGGCAGATCATGAGGTCAGGAGATTGAGACCATCCTGGCTAACACAGTGAAACCCCATCTCTACTAAAAATACAAAAAAATTAGCCAGGCTTGGTGACAGGTGCCTGTAGTCCCAGCTACTCGGGAGGCTGAGGCAGAAAAAAAAAAATTTTTTTTTCTTTTTCTTTTAAGACAGTGTCTCAGCCAGGCGCGGTGGCTCACACCTGTAATCCCAGCACTTTGAGATGCTGAGACAGGTGGATCACTTGAGGTCAGGAGTTCAAGACCAGCCCAGCCAACATGGTGAAACCCCATCTCTACTAAAAATAAAAAAATTAGGCCAGGCACAGTGGCTCACGCCTGTAATCTTAGCATTTTGGGAGGGTGGAACACCTGAGAAGGGTGGATCACCTGAGGTCAGGAGTTTGAGACCAACCTGGCCAACATGATGAAACTCTGTCTTTACTAAAAATACAAAAATTAGCTGGGCGTGGTGGCACTTGCCTGTAGTCCCAGCTACTCAGGAGGCTGAGGCACGAGAATCACTCGAACCTGGGAGGCAGAGGTTGCAGTAAGCCAAGATCGCATCACCGCACTCCAGCCTGGGCAACAGAGTGAGACTTCCTCTCGAAAATTAAAAAAAAGGCAGAGTCTCACTTTTTCACCCAAGCTGGAGTGCAGTGGTGCAATCTTGGCTCACTGCAGCCTCTACCTATGGGGTTCAAGCAGTTCTCCTGCCTCAGGACCCCATCTATCTGGGACTCCTGGCTAATTTTTTTGTATTTTTTATAGAGATGGGGTTTCACCATGTTGCCCAGGCTGGTCTCGAACTCCTGGGCTCAGGCAATCCTCCCGCATCAGCCTCCCAAAGTGCTGAGATTACAAATGTGAGCCACCACGTCCAGCCTAATTTTTAATTATTAAAGTAACAAATACTAACTGCAAAAACTTAAAAAATACAACAGCATATCAAGTAACACATCCTCCTCTTTTCAATGCCATTTCCCACTGATAGAACCTTAGTTAATCCTTACAGACGTTTTATTGTGCATATACAATCCTAAGTGTTGATAAGTATATATACATACTCATGTATATTTTATTCATTCAAAAATGGAATTTCATATCATGCCATTCTGCATTTCTCCATGACATATGTAGCATATCAGAGATTGATAAAAGCTATTTTTCCAGTCTTTCTTTCTTTTTTCTTTTTTTTTTTTGAGATGGAGTCTTACTCTATTGCCCAGGCTGGATTGCAGTGGTGAGATCTCAGCTCACTGCAACCTCCACCTCCTGGGTTCAAGCAATTCTCCTGCCTCAGCCTCCTGAGTAGCTGGAACTACAGGCAAGTGCCACCACGCCCGGCTAATTTTTTATATTTTTAGTAGAGACGGGGTTTCACCGTGTTAGCCAGGATGGTCTCGATCTTCTGACCTTGTGATCCACCCGCCTCGGCCTCCCAAAGTGCTGGGATTACAGGCGTGAGCCACCGTGCCCGGTCTCCAGTCTTTCTATTCGAGTGCTATGTAAACGTACAAATGAAGATGTGGAATAGAGACTTAGAGCATTACTTATTGGCAAACATTTATTGAGCGCCTTATTATTATTATTATACTTATTATTGAGTGTCAGGCAGCCTGATTTTTCAAAACAGCTTGATTTTTCAGTTTGAGATATATTTTATTTACTTATACAATCAGAATTCAACTTTAGTCATTCACAACACACACACACATACACACACAACACACACTCACATTTTCCCACACATCCCCAATTCATTACTGTATATGGTAATATTTGTTAAATCAGTATTTGAATTTTCCATTGTTATGACTGTGTGGCTATTACTCAGCTGAGCCACACGGCATCCTTTCTTCCTTTCTTTATCTGTACTTTCTCATCCCCATATTTCTTTTTCTTTCCTTTTTTTTTTTTTTTTTTTTTTTTTTGAGACAGAGTCTCGCTCTATTGCCCAGGCTGGAGCACAGTGGTGCAATCTCTGCTCACTGCAGCCTCAGCCTCCTGGGTTCAAGCGATTCTCCTGCCTCAGCCTCCCAAGTAGCTGGGATTACAGGCACCCACCACCATGCCCAGCTAATTTTTGTATTTTTAGTAGAGATGGGGTTTCACCATGTTGGCCAGGCTGGTCTTGAACTCCTGACCTAGTGATCCGCCTGCCTCGGCCTCCCAAAGTGCTGGGATTACAGGCATGAGCCACTGCGCCCAGCCTTTTTTCTTTTTTTTTTTTTTTTTTTTTGAGACGGAGTCTGGCTCTGTCGCCCAGGGTGGAGTGCAGTGGCCGGATCTCAGCTCACTGCAAGCTCCGCCTCCCGGGTTTACGCCATTCTCCTGCCTCAGCCTCCCGAGTAGCTGGGACTACAGGCGCCGCCACCACGCCCGGCTAGTTTTTTGTATTTTTTTAGTAGAGACGGGGTTTCACCGTGTTAGCCAGGATGGTCTCGATCTCCTGACCTTGTGATCCGCCCGTCTCGGCCTCCCAAAGTGCTGGGATTACAGGCTTGAGCCACCGCGCCCGGCCTGCCTTTTTTCTTTTCTTTTTTTTTTTTGAGATGGTGTCTCTCTGTGTTGCCCAGGCTGGAGTGCAGTGGTACGATCTCGGCTCACGGCAGCCTCTGTCTCCCGGGTTCCAGTGATTCTCCTGCCTCAGCCTCCCAGGTAGCTGGGATTACAGGCGTGTGCCACCATGCCCGGTTAATTTTTATATTTTTAGACACGGGGTTTCACCATGTTGGCCAGGCTGGTCTCGAACTCCTGACTTCAGGCGATCCGCTGGCCTCAGCCTCCCAAAGTGCTGGGATTACAGGCATGAGTCACTGTGCCCGGGCCTCACCCCCATATTTCTGAGGGGCAATGTAGCAAGGAGATAAGAACCCTTCTTCTGAAACCAGGCTGCTGAAACTCATCCCCCATCTCCTCCATTGCTATCCGGGGGACCATGGGCAAGATCTCCAACCTCTCTGTGCCTCAACTTCTTCATAACACCACCAACTTCACAGGACTGCTGTAAGGACTGAACGAGCTACTGTATGTCAAGTGCTTAGAACAGTGCCTGGAGATAGCAAATGTTTTGTACAGATTTGTTATTATGGTTGCCTCCTAAGAAAGGGTGTGTGGGAGGTGAGGTTTTTGTTGTGGTGGTGATGGTTTTATTTTGTGTTTTGCCTCATGTCTTTTATTCTATGCTGTCACTTGATTAATCACAGTTTGGCTGTGTATGGAAATCTAGGT